GCCACCCGCCACCGCCACCGCCACCGCCACCACCACCACCAGCGTCACCACCCATCGCCAGCGATACCACCACCGCCGCCGCCGCTGCCGCCGCCACAATCGACACTGCCGCCGGGCACCCCCAATTGCCGCCGGTTTTTCGTAGGCACAAATGGGGCCATGGCGGCCCTCCTGGCGGATGGGACGCTGGTCACCTGGGGCGACGCAGGCTGCGGAGGAGAAGACAGCTTGGATTCAAGCCTTAGAGTCTACCTAGATAGGAACATACCCCAACCAGGACTGCATCCAGGCTGTTTCTTCGGAGGTGTTGAAGCTTAGGGGGATTCTGGCAGTTGGTAGGGAATAAAGGGCTATTAGGGATTGTAGAGGGACTATATGTCCTATTTGCTACTTACCACAAGTAAGACCACAGCAAGCGCATCCCATCGTCTGGACTCCAGGAGATAGCAGCTTGATACCCGAGCAGCTCCGGAGCAAAGCAAAGAAAAAGAGATTGTGCTGGAGGAGCTGGAAGCGCCTAACATGTTGTAGGCGGTTTTTGCTCTGTGGAAGCAGATGTTAGGACTTTAGGGTGGTGGCAGCCGAAGGGGGCAGTGGTGGTTTTGGCCCGGGTGCTTCTGGTGCCAGTTGTGTATTGTGGTAAAGCGGCTTGTGCTGCTGGTGCAACTGTTGATGCAGTGAATTGTTGCTGGTATTGTTGCGGGTATTGTTGCTGGTGCTGCTGATGCCGGTGCTGCTGGTGGTTGCAGTGGCAGCATCGTTGCCAGTGGAGGCGCAACCCGCGACAGAGGTGGTTGAAGGACTTTGAAAGTAAATCTGCCATGCTACAGCAGGGTTGGTTACTGCAGTTCTCCCTGCAACCCGTAGGGCAGCTGCGTCTTGTAGGAGACCCAGACATTGTAGGCCAGTTTTCATTCTATAATAGCGATTATTCTTGGCTCTGCAAATGGCATGGACTACGACATAGATGAGATAAAATGGCTCCGAAGGCATCCAGATGAAAATTCCTATGTGTGAGGGT